ACCCCTCCCCCTGTCCCTTTTCCTCCCTCCCCTGTTCTTTCTCCCCCTCCCCTGTCCTTTCTCCCCCTCCCCTCTTCCTTCTCCGACCTCCCCCATCCCTTCTCCCTTCTCCCTCCTCCTTCTACCCCTCCCCCTGTCCCTTTTCCTCCCTCCCCCGTCCCTTCTCCCCCTCCCTTCTCCCCCTTTTTCCCACTTCCTTCTATCCTCTCCCCTGTCCCTTCTCCCCCTCTCCTCTCCCTTCTCCCCCCTCACCTCTCCCCCGTCCTCTCTCCCTTCTCTCCCCCTCTTCCCCCAACCATCTCAGCGCCCTGCCATCTGTGATCAGACTCCATCCACCTCGCAGTCTGACAGTCTGAGAGCCTTTGTCAGGCGTCAACTCGTTTTTTTAAAAAAATATTGTTTCATTTCTGCAAAAAAACTGAATACTTGGGGGTGGCTTTGTGTGAAACGAGTGTGAGTGGAGTGTGTGGAGAAAGAGAGAGAGAGAGGGAGAGAAAAGCTGCAGTGAATTGAAACCTCCAACTGGTCTGTTTTGAAAGTCAATAATGGTGATATTATTCAAAGAGAAATTGAGGGGAGTCAATAAAATAAGTCTGTTGGTCTCTCTCCCCTCGCCTCCTGCTCTGCTCACTACCTGCCCAGTGTCTCTCAACGCAGTGCATCAATCAGTCAAGAATTAGCTTGCCTATGTACAGAACATTATTAACAGTCTCCTTATACAGGTAAATTAGGCTGAGCAGAGCAGGGAAGAACACCAGCAAAATAATAAGAAGCACTTGGTCATTTACAACGAACTAATAAAGTCGCTCCATGGGAGAGAAATCAAGAGAGCAGGGCAGTGAGGGGAAGCAAAGAGGGGAGTCAAGTACATTAATTGGATAGCAAGGGAGTGAGTGAGTGAGGGGGAGAGAGAGAGAGAGAGAGAGGGGGGGGGAGGGTGTGTGTGGGGGAGGCGTAAATGTCACTGGGATTTGGTGTGAGTGTATGTGTGCGAAGATGCTGTTAACATTAAAATAGGTATTGCTCAGGAGTCAAGCCCATTAATTGGGTAGTGAGGGAGAGAGGGTGTGTGTGGGGGGAAGGCGTAAACATCACTGGGATTTTGTGTGTATGCCTGTCTGAGGAAGATACAGTTTTAACATAAAAATAGTTTGATGTGGTGCCCACATCACCACGATTTCCACCATTTGGTTCTTGACTCCAGATATATTGCCATCCAGGGAAATTTCCGCACTTAGCTGGCCTGGCAAGTGTAGAGAGGTGGGATATTGGATGCACTTGGTAGCCAGGCAACGAGCGTTCCCAGCTCCCACGTCTGTGCAGAGGAACCAGTGAGCACCTACTGACTTGATTGACGTCTCTCATGACTACATCTCCACTGACTACTGTTCGATACTGTATACTGCTGACTACTGTTCAATCCAGTTGCTCGGTAATGAACCCCCCCACCCACTTCTGCAGCGAAAGTCCAACACTTTTTGGCAATTATTTTTATTGTGGGGTTGGTATGCACATTACTCGTTTTTGGGAAATATAAATACATATTCCAATTTTTTTTTAAATATACCAAAAATCTGCATACACATATATATATTCCTCCAAATATTCACAATGCAATAGAAACATGCTGGCAGTTTGTGAATATAGCTTTAACTGTTTAACTTCCCCCTCACCCCCTCTTTCCCTGTTAATTACCTTTGTTAATTATTTATATGATCTGTCTTATACTGGGGTTAGTCTGAATGAGTACATTATTAACTACACTTCTGGGAACTTTTCCCATTTGTGATTTTAGATTATTTTGTTATTATAATAACTATATCAGATTATTAGTTGAGACGGATACATTTTTATTTAGCTTGCAAAAAAAACCCAACCCCAAACTATTCTGGCACGTTGGTAGATATTTTGCCTGGTTTTGTTGTGTCGTGAAAGTTGGAGCTTAAAAAAANGGGGAAACCCCTGTATGTTGGGGAGGTTATGGTGTTTGTTGGGCATCCGACCCTCTATGTAAATTGACAGTTGGATGAAAAACAGGCGCTTTGGTGTGAACATCTGACTAAATGTGCCTGCTTATTTACACCCAATAAGAGGGGTTTCACCCCATATATCTTGTACAAAACAACTCACTGCACAAAAGCTCCCCTGACCCCAATCCCCTCAACCCCGTACAATAACCACTAATCGCTAGTGTGTTGCTACCTTGTGACAGCCTCAAATGCACAGTCACTCCACTCCACAGCATCAGTCAAAATTAAAGTAATAAGATGGTTTCATATAACTCCATTTAGAATGTACAATGAACTAATTAGGATATTATACAATTAAATGGGATGATATAAAACTACTGTAAAGGTGCATTTTTGTGTCGGGCCTGTGATAGTTTACGTGAAATGTTGCATTTGCCCATGTCTGACTCACAGACGTTCAGTGCTTGTCAAAGTGATATTTCCTTTAGCAATCGGGGGAGGGGTTGGGGTGGGGGGGGTCGCATTAATCC